CATCGGAACCACTGTATATATGGTCAGTATCGATATAAGGTACGAGTATATGGCAGTAATTGTCGATATGCCGCTAGTAGAATTAGTAGCCACGCGTTCAATTCTTTTTTTTTATGTGAAAGGTTGCCAAACGAACAGACGCTTTACCTGATGGTAAGGGAATACCGCCACCCATGGACATCTGCTACACATGAGGGTTACAGATGCGTTGACAACCTTTTGAAAATTGGGCTCCGGCTACCTCACTACACACCTACAAACGTAACGCGAAAGTATTTGTCATACTTCCACTTTACGCTGGTCTTATGTGAGGTCGTGATACTTACCCGGACGGGCCTGCCCATTCTTGCAACAGCCGAGGCTGCTGCGTGGCCCTACCACCGCTATCTTTTTTCGCCCTCAACGGTCCATAATATCGATAAGTCTTTAAGTATCGATATAATTAGCACAGTGTCCCATCACTAGCCTGCCGCCGCACGCGTTGTTTGATGAGCCGTCGGCAAATATATTACGGGTCGTGTTTGCGCTTTGCGAACGCTCAGCGTGGGCGGTTGCTCCTGTCCGGCTGGGGAGGTCTTTAGTCGTTGGCTTGACCCGGGGATGTGGGTTCGCTCCAGTGGCGGGCGTTTATCGGTTTTCGTACGCGAATATTTTCCTATTTAGGAGTAAGTCAGCAGCCGAAGGTTACAACTGACTTCAAAACGGACGTTGTCAATTCGGTTACGTTCGTTACTGTAGAACTCCGTGATTTATGAATCGGTTTTAAAGATTCTTTTAATATTGGCTTTGGATTGGATCCCTTGTGGTCCCATATTAATTTAATTGTAACTGGACCCTGGAGTCCGGAGATTCATCAGGGAACTATTTAAAATTAGAAAATGTATAGTACAGTACGTCTACTAAAACTGCCTCATCTACAGACACACACAACGTCATGTTGATAGTACGGTATATATAAGGTGTCGTATCTAACCTAATTGCTGCGAACAACAAAATATTTACAATACTCGTCAAATATTACCTAAATTACACGTTATATAAACCTAGTTTAACCGAGTTCGGTTAATAATTACATATTACATTTATACATTTGATCGAGAAAAGAACTCTTTAACACATTCTTACATGTACTGAGGGTATCGGGGCATAATTCACCACGCGGCCCCACTGCCGATTGGCTGACATCACATGATTCTCTTTGAAATATTTTTTTTTATTATTCTGAAAATGTGCAGGTTTCCCCACGATGTTATCATACCGTTGAGCACGTGATAAGTTGGTACTTAAAAATACAAATTTCATTGGTGCCGGCACCGGGGATTGAACTCAGGTCCCCTCGAGTGTATTGAGATAAGTGTGAATATTTTCGAAAATTTTGCTCTAAGCAATCGCCGCGTCCCAGACACTGTATAGCAAACTGCACATCGCTGCGCGTACATAACGCAGTTAACGGCGAACAAACAGTTGAGCCGCGTGCAAATAGAACGTTAACTATCCGTTTTAGAGATGCGCCGACACGTGTAGCAACTGACCCTCGTGTTGAAACTGGGAATTATTATAATACTTTTGTACTCTACTAGGGATTCGACGCGCGCGTTCTGCAATTGCTTGAGCAGACTCGATCAGGTATCACAGAAAGCCGACGAGAGGTCTTTTAAATGCTCTCTATAAAAGTAAAGTGACCCACTGCTCTGTACAGATATAAGGATATAGTCCACGGAGGACTTCACATATCTTCGAAATATTTATTTTGATATTATTTCGAAAATATGCGGGTTTCCTCACGATGGATTCCTTCACGGATAAGTCAGAACTTAAAATTAATAATTTCTTGAATTAAAGGCGAGCTCCCTGACACTGACCTATCACGGCTCTCTATAAGCTCTATAAGCTAGGACGTAATTTTTCAGGGATATTAAATTTTGTGTGTTCGTAGTGTTTTTCGTTGCTAGAGTTAAATTATTATGTAAGTATTGTTTGGGTTAACTAGGGTAAATATCATCTATAAGGAATAAGTATTTACTAAAATGTTTGACTTTTAGTGCAACCAAACGTCAAATGATTAAATTCAAAAGTTCTTATTCCAATTTATTTAAGTATCTACCTAAAAAAAAAAAAAAAAACAATTGAATTCGTTTCAAGTCACGGCACCATCACACACATCACATCGATTACATTAACGAAAATAGCGATTTCCCATGAGGTACCACCGGTTAACAAATAGTATTTGACACAATACGTAAAATTCTTAAATGTGATATTCCGATATTGACAAATGTTAGGTTTGAAATTCTACCAAAGTCGCGTGGCGCATTGTGTAGCTAGCCAGTTAGCTGACGCATCGCATTCCCAGATAGATGACGTATCATGTTGACAGCTATCATAATAGGGTCGCCACGCGGTCTTTTGGGGTTTAAGTAGTAGTATTATTAACCGTGTTCATTTCCAGCAATTCTGTCATTTGCGTTAAAGTTGGTAAAGGAAAATGTTTTGTGGCCTCTTCAATAAACATTGATTGAGGCAGCCGTGAGAACATTTGGAGTATCGCAAGCTGTTAATGCAGATACTTGATGAAAGCTGGACACAGATCAAGTCGAAATCGTAGTCTATTTTTTGTCTAAATAGTGTAAGTAGCCCATTATAAATAACATTAAGGCATTACCTGCCTCGCACAACCACTCTGTGGAACCAGCTGCCGCCGGCGGTCTTTCCGGACCGTTGCGACCTGGGAACCTCCAAGAAGAGAGCATACTCTTTCCTTAAAGGCCGGCAACGCATTTGTACGCCCTCTGGTGTTGCACGGGTCGTTGGGCGGCGGTGATCACACCATCAGGTGAACCACCTGCTCGTTTGCCGCTTTTTTCCCGTAAAAAAAAAAACACAATTAAAACATTTCCATAGCTTCACTTGAAGACGTTCTGTATAAATTTAAATAACAATTATCTAGAAAATTGTTATGGTTATTGTATAGTTAAAATTTAGAACCATTGGCTATACTCGTAACGCCCTTAAAGGATAACACACAATAATGTTGTGTTTAATTCCTTCCCCCCATATTGATATAGAAATAACGAAGTACCGTTAGGGCGGTTGCACGTCTCAACTGGAGAAACAACAAACAGAGCGCTAACCAAACAGGAGGCAGCGGTGCAACGGGCAGAGCCCCCGGGATTCGATTCCCCGGCGAGGCGCTTTGATGTCTGTATAAGGGTTTTTATGGCATGAATAATGGCGCACCCATGGGGCCCGTGTTTGCAGCGCCCGCGGCGGTTGTAATAGATAATAAACACAATTATAAGTTTATTAGCGGGCACCGCAGATGCGTCCGCGTGGTGGGGTCCCGCAGGGTGCGGTTATATCATGATTGATGGCACCACGCCGCCCGCCGAATCATCGGGAAACGTGTTGTGTGCCGTGAATAATTTCTAATTGTGCCAGATAGTTTGATCCGCATTTCCATTGCCCGTGTGCGATTCGTCATCGGCTATCAATCGATGATATTGAACAGTTTATTTTAATACATAATTTTTTGATTAAAACTAAAGTGATACTTTGTCTGAATTGTTAATTTTTACGATAGTAAATTAGGTTGATTAAATCCATGAGTACCTCAAATTGTGCAACTACTGATGACCCTCAAATGATTATTAGATATTACAAGCGTCGATGTTGAAATAAATCTTCAATTTAAACTTGCACCAATGAACATACAAGTTAGTACCAAAGATGACGTAGCATCGACCAAAAATGATATTTGCATGTCAAATCAAATATGATTTCTTAAGTTGATAGGTACTTAAGGAATCTTATAAATCATAAAAGTAATTATTTATTTAGTATTTTTTACTTAATTTCAATTAACATTTGCAAGTTATTGCGCTCAGCGCATGCGTAAGATATTACTGCCCAATATGCTTTTATATGCGTAAGAATTTATTCTTTTATACAAATTGTTAATACAACTTGTACCGTTTGTTCTTGAATAAATGTTACAATTGTTGGTAAATCTTTGAAGAAATACCTCTAGCAATCTCCCCTGACTTTGTTGGTTTTATATAAAGCTGACCAAATCACATTCACCAAAGATTTGGCGTCACGCACCGTTTGCCTCGTGAACGGGGGCAAGTTAAGATGTCTTAGGGTCAGCAAGGCACAAATCTCCGCTTAAGTATTCCGCACGCTCACGGCGTCAGGTCACGCGATCCCGTGATTGCTACGTGCTTCTCAGACGTTACGTCCAGTGTTGCATTGATTGCGAGTCCACCCTTCTCCCCGCATTCATCACGCGCCCATTGATGGTCATGGTTTCTTTATTCTTCCCCGTGTACTTCTTTGTTTATCATAGTAATTAGGGTTCCGTACTCATAGTGTAAATAGGGTCCCTATTGCTAAGGCTCAGCTGTCTTTCTATCACCAGGCTGTATCTCATGAACCGCGATAGACAGTTGAAATATTCACATATGATGCATTTCTGTTGCTGCTTTAACAAAAAATGCTAAAAAACAGAATAAAAAGTATTTAACGGCTCTCATACAACAGACACGATTTTTATGAACTGGCCAAGTGCGAGTCAAACTCGTGCACGGAGGATTACGGAACCTTCCATTATCTGTAAAAACGGCGAAAAAACCATGTCCGTTGCATGGTTCCCTGTTCCCTTAAAACCAGTTCCCTTAAATATTGTTTATTTTATTCTGTTTTTCAGTATATGTTGTTGTTGTGTATAGCGCCAGCAGACAATACGTCATCTGTGAAAATTTCAACTGTCTAATTGTCACGGGGGTTTTTTTAAATAAAAAAAAAAAATACAAACTTATTAAACTGATACAAAACAGACGGACAGACAGCGGTGTCTTAGTAATAGGGTCCCGTTTTACCCCTCGGGTACGGAACTATCGATGGATGAAATGTGTGTTACTTGTGCCGATGAATAAATGATTTTGCCATTTAGCCGGGACGTTATTAATATGCGATGTGTCCAACTGATCGTCTACCATCAGGAGGCGTTCGGAGAAGGCGGCTGGCCCCTCGAGTTCCGGGCGGCCGTTGCCAGACTCCTCTCCCAACACGCGCCCAACGATAGAGAAGCTCCGCGCACCACTCCGCTGCGTGAGTTTTATTTTTCAACCGACTCCAAACAAATAGGTTCTTTTTTATGTGAGAAGGTGGCAGGCGAGCTGGCGGTTCACCTGATGTTAAGTGATAAACGCCGCACTGGACATTTGCAACACCCGTAGGGTTGCAGAAGCGTTGCCACCTCTTAATAATGTGAGCCCCGGCTACCTCACTCACCAGGTGAAACTCAGAAGTGCAACACTTCTACTTTACGCCGGTCTTCTGTGAGGTCGTGGTACTAACCCGGACGGACATGCCCATTCGTGCAACAGCGAACACTGTTACGTGGTCCTACCATCGTCATGGTTGCAGATGTGTCGCCACCTTTCAATGAAGTGGGCACCGGCTACCTCACTCACCAGGCGAAACGCAGAAGTACAGCACGTGTAAGTGTTCACGTCTTCTGTGAGAATCGCCCAGATCCAGAACAATCATCTGTGGGTCGCACAAAAACTTGTCCCGTGTGAAAATCGAACCCACGACCCATGACGCCGAAGCCAATATAGCTTAGAAACGGCGATACTGAGTTACAGTACCACGTATATGTAGCATTGATAATGTTAAGTTTTCTCTATTCGACCCGATTGGCGTAGTAGGTAGTGACCCTGCATTTTGCGCCAGAGGGTGTGGGTTCGATCCCCAATACGGGAAAAATATTGTGCGATAAACATAGTGATCATCGAATTTATTACATTACATACATACATTGAATCATAGTCCAGTGTCTGAGTGTTTATATATGTATAATATCTATTTATTCACAAAAGAAAATTATGTTTAAGTATATTTATCAATTATCCTGTACCCTAGTACCCAAAGTACAAGCGTTGCTTGGTTTGGGGTTAGAGAGCGTTGTGTAAAAATGTGTCCTTAATTTATTTATTATAGGTCTAAGCAATCAGCGTCTGGACCAGACGTTATCCGAGACCATGGTTCTCGACCTGATCGTTCTCGTGGGATTCGTGGTGGTGAACAATCCCCAACTTCAGGTTAGTTGTCGTCCGTTAAAGAGTGGTGGTGGTTGTCGTTTGCTTGTTCCGTCGCTGTTTTCTGTATGTCCGAGCCGTGATGGCTCAGTGTTCGGGCGCTCGCTTTCAATTCAGTATACTCGAGCAACCTGAGTTTGATCCCCGGTGCCGGCACCAATGAAGTTGCTCATTACAAATATAAGTGCTGTCTTATCAAGTGCTCAATCCGCGCCATGATAGTTCAGTTTCAATAAAAAAAAAAATTATTTTCTTTTATATGGGAAAAGTTGTCAAACGAGCAGACGGTTCACGTGATGTTAAGTAAATACCACCGCCCATGGACAGCTGCCACACCCGAGGCTTACAGATGCGTTAACAACCTTTTAAAAATTGGGCTCCGGCCACCTCACTCACTAGACGAAACGCGAAAGTATTTGTCATTTCAATTCAATATACTCGAGCAACCTGAGTTCGATCCCCGGTGCCGGGACCAATGAAATTGTTGATAAAGTGCTGACTTATCACGTGAAAGAAAACATCAAAAACTTTCAAGTATTACAAAGGCATCTGCGTGGAGGGTCCGTTTTTTGTATTTTTAAGAAAGCTGTTTTTTTAACGCTATTTTAGTACAAGCTAATATTGTTTCAGTTGTGACATTTTGTTTGAGATGGTTTATTTTTCGCCCGATTCCTACATGAGAGTAATGTGTTCCTACTGCGTGTATGTATTAATTGACACGCTCTACACCCTTAACCTTTTGACGTATCTCAAGATATGTTGTGTCATTAGATCGATATTGGCCGCTGGAGTGGCATAAGTGATACTATTTCAATTAGTTGACGATAAAAAATGAAAAAGAGTTTTGTTAAAGCAGTCAAGTTTTCTGTTAGATTAAATAATTCATGTTTGTTATAGCTTTGCAACGCGACAGCTAGGGTCTGCGGTCACTTAAGGCGTTGGAAAAAAAAAATCGTAACTTCCGTTTGAGTGGGCAATTCTGATAGTTGTTCCCATGCGGGCCACACCTGCGTTACACGTGTTAGATAATAGACATACCCTTGTACTGTCTGTTTGTCTTCGTTCGTGTTTAATTATGCGATGCGTTTTTGTGTTTTGTATTTTTTAAAATTGCATCGCTGGATCGCATCGCCTTACGTTCGGCAGTTATCGCAATCGATACGCTCCTGGACGTTATAGACAGTGTTGACGGCCGTTGGTTTAACTCGAAGGGAATGTCGTTACAACAACTATGAACAAATGTATAGTTCAAAGTCCGCAATTGACCAGCTCGTTCTGGATAGTAGACCTATATACAAATAACTATGTGACGTATGCATATGTTGAGGCTGTAGTGCTTGAACGTGGGAAATTTAAATGGAATGTACTATGATAATGGATAAGAAAATAAAAATAAATTACTTTCTTTTTCGTTCTCGGATTCACTTCAGCGGACGAAAACCTTAAAAAAATTTGGATTGTTTTTTTTTTTTTTAGTACTAAATACATTTGGAAGTTTTGATGCTCGAACTCCGTAAAGGATGATTTTCGTTTTTGTATTATTATATCAATCCGTACTAATATTATAAACGCGAAAGTTTGTGTGTATGGATGGATGTTTGTTACTATTTAACGAAAATACTACTGAATGGATATTAATGAAACTTTACAATAATATAGATTATACATCAGAATAACACAAAGGCTATATATAATTTATAACCATATTTTTTATGTATATCTGTCTTTCTGTCCGAATGTTACGCCTCCAGCCTATTCTACGCAGACGTAGTCGCGGGCAGCAGCTAGTATATTATATCGACAAGTTTCCACAGTACAAAATTTTGATTGCAACTAATATGCACCTGCGGACCAATGTTTGATATAGAATTGTTTTGTTTTCTAGTAAATAATACACTAATGAAATCGCTTTATCTAGTTTAATGTTATGGAAACTCGATATGATCGGGCTTTGGACATTGAAAACTACCACTATCGCGCGGTGAATGTAATATCTACTTGTATCTAGGGTACTAACTTTTTTTAAATCAACGGTTACTAATGTAATTGTCATGTTTCGAGGGCGCAGAACATTTAAAAAAATAAATAATTTGTGTTTATTAAGAAAACGTCGTATCAAAAATTAATAAACAGAATTAAGTAATTGAAAAATTATTATTATCAAAACTGAACTGTGACAGTTGTATGTTTTTTTTTTAAAAGCTGCCCTTACTTTAGGATAACATATTTGTTATAAGGACGTTTTACAAACATAAATTTCACGCGGACAAACACCCAGATGCGAAACAACTATCTGTGGGTCACACAAATAGTTGTCCCGTGTGGAATCGAACCCACGACCCACGACCCCCGACGCCGAAGCTAATACTTTGGCAACTGCGCCACGCAGTCATTAAATGTATGTCAATAAGACTAAGAATAATCACAAATCGAACCCACAGTGTTTCCTATAGTTTACTTGTAAAGCGCGTTAAGATAATTTATAGTAGTTTTTGGCACTTTGTCATTTTGTATTCTATGTTTATTTATTAAACTTTTCGAAATGATTGTATCCTGCCAAAATAAAATAAATAATTGCTATTGGTCTCGGCACCGGGGGTCCTGTGGTCGATTACCACACGGGACAACTATTTGTGTGTCCACAGATAACTGTTTCAGATCTGGGTAATGTTATGAATATACAGTAAGAGCAACGATTTAACGTTTTGTAATGACCATCTAGATATATAACAAACTACCGCAAATATTGAAAGATGAAAAAACGATAAAACTTTCCTAAAAAAATTTAAAAGACTTGTTACTTACTAAGTCATACTATGACATAAAAGAATATTTTGGAGATACTTTGGATATTATAGATAAAAATAACACATAATGATCTCACATCATAAATATATTAAACAAATTACTTATAATTAATATATAAATTAAAACTAATAAATGTTACCTATAAAAATAAATAGCCTCTCAAAATACCAACTACTTATACAAGTACCCCATTAAATTACCTAAGTGATACATCTTGCTCTCTCCGAATTTGTTATGATTTTTTTGTACTATGCGCTATATACAGGGTCCATAAAGAACTGTTTTACTAATTATCCTAACAGCTTTTGTTACGTAATGGATGTGCAATAAATAAATATAAAAGATTACTGTAAAAGTTTTCTTGTATTGACGTAAGACAGGATGCAGCCAACATTAGTTTCCTCAGCGAACCACAAATTACACTAGTATTTGTGTAATCGCGTCCAGGCAGTCGAACAGTCGCTTTATGAGAGGCAAAATCCGAATAAAAATTGATAATTGTTGCAGAACGTGTTGTTTCAAAACTGTCGCTCGAACAGTTTAAACCTTAGAACGCTTCCCTAATTAATATAATTATGGTCAAAATTATGGAAAAAACTAAGTTTCCATTCCCCCATTTCTTGGCGGAAGAATTTCCCACGGGCGCAGGTGTGTGCCCCCCCTCTCCCCCATTCGGCAAGGGAAGTGTTTTAGGAGCGTCCCGTTAAGACACTTGTCCGCAGTTGCGCCGGCCAACCATTACGATGAATAATTTATGCCGTCTCCAAGTCGCTAATCAATTAGGCGGGCCGCTAGCGACAGATGCGCCCGGCCGTGTCGTTAACGTCGCGTAGCCACTTGTCTCACTACAACTTTAATACACTCCTGAGGTGTTTTGTTCGTGTCGGCTGTTTACCGTCCGTGAATTTGTGATGTAACACTCACTTTGTGGCTTTGTTATTACTTTGTTATGGTAAACCGTTGGAGCTGTGAATTATAAAAAGATATCGAGCTTTTTAAGTTAGGAAAAACTGTTATTTAGTGTTTTACGTGAAAATAAAATGTAACCTACGTTGTCATTTAAAACCACAGATCGCGTACGAACCACCACCTAGAAATATAACAATTTTTCTCCCTCATCCCACCCATGTGGGGTTGGCATTTTATATGTGAACATGCACACAAACACTTGTCTGTAGGAATTGAACCCACGACCGCCAGTGCACAAGCCTTTGACTTAGGCTCACCGAGTCGTAGCATACCATTACAATTATCTGTTTAAATACATATCGAAATCATTATCAGTAACAATCCTGCCCCCCCCCCCCCCCCCCCCCTCATGTCTAGGACACAATCTGCGACGGCTGGAGCGTCATAAAGACCCTTTGCACGCTGCCGGCCAACTGGCTGGTGTCTCCCTCTCACAGCCACGCTCTGCTACCGACCCTCGTGGCACTGGCAGAAAGGCCGGCCACGGCCACCGCCATCGCCGCCGAGTTCAGCGTCGAGGTGAGTGCTGCCACGTCAGACACGGATACCACCACAACACGTTAGGGAAATACCTTCGCCACCAATATATTCAAGAACATAGCAAAATAATATGATGATTATTCATCAGCAAACACGGTGATAGAGGAGTTGGAAACAGTCTCTTCAACTCTCATTAGCTGCCTCTTACAAAAATCGGCCAAGTGCGACTCGCAATCGCACACGAAGGGTTCCGTACCATTGTACCATCTATAAAAACGGCAAATATGTCTGTTGTATGGGACCACCATTTAAATATTTTTTATTCCTTTTTTTAGTATTTGTTGTTTTAGCAACAGCAAAAATACTTATCTGTGAATATTTGAACTGTATACCTATTACGGTTCATGAGATATAGCCTGGTGACAGACGGACTAAAAAACAGAATAAAAAATATTAAATGAAACTAGTTTTCGGATTTCATCGCATTTTTTGTTTTGATTTGAACTCCCGACGTTTCGAACCCTTTCTAGCGTTCCTGGTCACTGGACAGACTCCGAAAAATAAATAAAAATATATTAAGATCCGTAAACTACAGTTTCATTTATTATGTATAATATTCGCGTAAAATCAAGAATAAAAATATTTAAGTGGGGTTCCCGTACAACGGACATGATTTTTTGCCGTATTTCTAGATAAAGATTTGGAACCCTTCGTCGGCGAGTCCGACTCGCACTTGGCCGGTTTTTTTTATAAAAGTATTTAATGTTAGTTATGTTTATAGTTTTTTATTTCTAATTTAATGAATTTCACATGTTAGGTTAGGTAAAATTTCTAAGTCTCTTCAAAAATGCTAACGTACAACGTTGAAAAAAATGCTGTACATGCCTAGCACACATGTACATATTAAGTACAACCATGTTGTTATATTCTTTTTTATTGCGTCAATATGTTTAGTGTTTTTCTCCTAACCCTAGTTAGTCTCCTAACCCTCAGACGAGATGGTAAACAGTACAGCGAACCAATGATTCGTTTACCGAGCTGGAAGCTGTGAGGCAAACGTCTGTATGCGTTCAAAAATCCACAGATGCTCCGCGAATACATGGAGAGTCCGGAGGCGCAGAAGGTGAAATTGGTCCAAGTGATAAAGCAGGGCAGAAAGAAATCTGGCAAAAAGTAATTAAACCCAGCGCAGAATCGACAGCCGAAGGAAACATCATATATTTTCATCGTACAACCATAGTATATCTTAACTTAAGCAATCTGCTCAATATGAGGCTAGATAAAAGTTGCAGAAAATTTTCAATACTATGAAATTTATTGACAGCGGTTGCGATTTAAAGGGAATTTGGAAGTTTTGTGCATCTAACAACTGATCTGATAGTTTTCTCTTATATGTAGACTTTATCATATTCGCAGTATTGTCTAAAAACTAAGGCGTGCTCTTTGAATCTGTAACAATGCAATTTGTTTAAGTTACTTACACAAGTCACAAGACTAATAATGTCTTGAATTGCCTTCTCCTTTTTTTTAACTTCGACAACGTTGGTATCAAAGTAGTCATTTGGTCTATATAATACACCAATTACGTTTTCGACTTTCTACTATTTACAGTTAAAGTCAAATTGTTTCATTCAATTCAATGGTGTGTTAACATTTTCGTCTACAACCGTTTCCCAAGTTTAGGCCAGTCTAACTGGCTCTTAGCTTTAGAGGGATCCCTCATCATTATGTATTGTATTCTATTAAATTTTAATGAACAGTATTAAAAGTAAATTCATTATAAAGTTTACAGCTGCTAAATTTCATCACAAACTGGCAACGGAGAGTGCTTGGTTTAGCCACAGGTCGAAAGGTCACAAGCAATGGTCAGGTTAGAGTATTCCTTGCGTTTGCTCAGCTGCATCGTTCAATCGACACTTTGTCCGATCCTCCGGGCCTGCTCTTCAGTATTTGTCTATGTCGCTCCAAGGCCTGTATATGGCCCAAGACGAATTTATTAGGGGCGAATGGATTTTCAACACGGGGCGACCCTTTATCGGATTAACTTTGTAATCGTAGTTAAGTGACACGTGTAATAATATAATCGATGTAAAAAAAAATGCGTTTAACTCGCCTATTACGTTATGTTAATGGTCCAATTGTCGTTTGGCGATGCCTTTGAACTTAACGGCGGTTATGCGGAAGGAATTGCATGCACTGTTAAGACCTGTAGATCATCCTTAAAATAGAGGTTAAAATTTCTAGGAATCCTGCGATTCCTGGTTCAACTTTCTCGTCCTGTGTAAAACTTATTTACTAATGTTAGTTTAAGACGGGTTGAGTCAACCTGCCTCATCAAAGAATGTTCCGGACTTAACAGAATTAATCACGTTTATAAAATTCGTAAAGTTGTTTTATTACCATTTATAGGATGCGTTAATGAATATTTGTAAATAATTTATGCATTTTCCTACGTTCTCAGAAAATGCATACATTTTTTTCCACAATGCACCTCAATCTCGTAAAGTAAGGCGAAATAATTTAGGTTCCAAAAGGGTTCAGGTTTGAAACTCTCGGGACAATTATTATAACATCATCTTTACGAATGTCGCCACGATAAAAAAAGGGTTGTCTGAACGGTAATGGGACTATTAACTAATTTTGGGCGTACCAAAAAAAAAATAAGTGTTGTGTAAAATTATTGTTAAACTCCCGAGTCGATGTTCCCCCGCCTTACGTAGTGTAATCTGTCTAAATGTTTTCTAATTCGAAATCGTTTCTTTATCAACTAATCTATTAAAGATACGCGAAAGTTTTCTTTTACTAACTGTAATACTAAAAAGAGTTTACGATATTTATTTTTGGATAACTATTGGTGACTTATATTATTTATAGTAAATTATTGGATTTCTTATTGATTTTTTTTCTACTAAATCTTCGAGACTGAAAGTTTCAACGTAGAACGTAATCAATTATACGGTAGAACCCCCATGTATCTGTGGTACTCCTCATCTGTCCAAACGCGTATAGCCTAATGTAAATCATTGTATTAATGTATTGAATACTGGTAATTGAATCGACGTTAATGTTGTGGACTTGTATGTTCTTATAGTAGTTAGTCGTTCGACTGTGTACCATGTAACCTCTTTGATGTCGCTATACATATTTTTCTATTGGAGTAGTGTTGAAAAAAAAAAAAAAACAATCGAACCTTTTAGCGAACCTGCATCATTTTCCGTAACTCACGTATTCGCCCCAATCCGCCGCCCGACCGAGATCGTCGACTGAAACAGGATTTGAATCTAGATAACCGCGGCTTAGTTAGATTTTGTGCTATGGCAACTCTCGGTCGGCTGGGCTGGTGCGATTTCGTACGCTCACCCACATACGCGCTTCTTCCTTTAATGTGCCGTAGTTTGTACTCAATGTAATGTTTTCTCGACTGACGTGAAAATATGTGGTTTATGATTTTTTTATTTGTCATTAGTTTGTTAACGGTTCGCGATTGTATTCATGTTTCGTTTCGCCGCCGGGAGCGCGGTTTAGCGCGAGCGGAATAGTCCGTGTGCCAGGTGTGCTCCCTGCGGCACGCCATAGCTTGGAGATTCGTAATGGGGGCCGAATTATACTTAGAGTTAAATTTTAGGAATGCTGTGATAGTACCGGAGCGGAATAGCTGGTGAAAATTCGCCGGAGAAGGTTTTGTACTTTAAAAGTTAAGGCAAATCGGTCGCGTACAATGTGGAATGCTTAATCCGGTATGGTTTTGCATAGGGTCGTCACGAGAGCCTGTTGCGATTTCGTTAAGCGGCGGATTTCCATTCGTTATGTACTAAAACTGTGATTATTATTTATTAGTTTAACTGCCACATATTATGTATATTATTTTTAATTGTTCCCTCTTAAGTTGTCCGCAACGCGACGTTGCGTAGCCGGGAGTGATTCGTCTGTGATTCTCTTTCGTTTAACGTTCTTGATTTTCGCGTGAGAACTTTCATTGTGTATTTTGTGTAAGCGAGAAATAAATATTTGTGTAACATTTAACCGGCGTTTTTTGTTTCAACCCAATATCTTTTACCCTGAATTAAGCATACGGTGTCAGGTCGAGAGAAGGAAAACAACGCAAGGATTTACTTTTGCATTTGATGAATATTGAAAATAAATGTTTATAAAGATCGGCGTGACGCTGAAACCGCATTGGGGTCGGCATTTGAGTCTTTTGTATGGTCGATTTTTCTACGGAGAAGTATTTTTATGTTTTTTTTTTAACATAAAATTGACTAAACGCAAACAGTTGCGCATATATGTTAAGACCACCAGTGCTTCTTTGGGGAAAATCACATGCTTCTAATGGTATGTAGCTGGCAAACAGTTCACCAGATATTAAAATTAAACACCTTTTTATTCTTGAAGCAACAGTCAATATTTTTCTTAAAACAAGTTTCTTAGTGATTCTAATAATTCTATATGACTACAGTGGTGGTTGATTATTGAAGGCTATAATCACTAAATCTCATACTTAAGGAAGACCAGTCTTGAAAATCAAAATGAAATAGAAATACAGAAACGTATTATGTAGTCACTGCTACATGACACATCTATCTCAATGTTGAACTCTTTTATGTGTACAAATTAGACAATACTAGCTCCGAGATTGGCTTAGTGGATAGTGGAGATTTCTATTCCGCCCGAGGGTGTGAGGGTTCGAACTTGTGACCCTGTGAATATTGTGGGATGAAAATTTTTTTTGTTGTTTGTGTATCTATAATATTGTAGCGGACATATGTCTGTTTAGTTTCGATTTTCTTCTCCAATAATATTTATTGTATATTATGATTATTGTATGTTGGCAACGCACACCCTAAATATAATTCAATTCGCGCAGTTGAAACCCAAAATCGTAAATAGATTTTTTCCCGATCGTAAAAAGCGAACGGACAGTGGAGCGAAAATTGAAATATCAAAGTGGTCCGAGCAATAACGCTATTTCATCCGGGACGCTCCTTTGATTGTTGGTAGGCCGATGTTAAGCGGGATTTTCGCTGAATGAACACCAATCTGGATACAAGCAACAGATTCCGCTGTTGCACGAATGGGCAGGTCCGTCGGAAGTACCACGACCTCACAGAAGACCGGCGTCAAGTGGAATTTTACTTCTGACGTTTCGTCTGGTGAGTGAGGTAGCCGGAGCCCGCTATTAAAAGGTGGTAATGCGTCTGAAACCCTACACGGGTGTTGGAAATGTCCATAGGGGCGGTTATCACTTAACATCAGGTGAACCGCCGGCTCGCTTGCCACATCTCATATAAAGAAAAATCGTACAGTGTTAAAAATTTCAGTCACAAGGTAAGAGTAAATATTTCTTTTATCGCTTGGCTTAGGTGTCTCGATAATTAAGACAATGTCAGATTCTACTCCGTCTGACTATCCCAAGTAGGCATCTTCACGATGTCGATGCACTTAAACTGATTGGAACTTTAAATCATGTTTCGAATGTTTCGGTTCGCCAAATGCTGCCACAAAATATATTGTTATTTAACGTTAATTACATATTCCACTTTGTCATGTCATAAAAATTATTATCCCAATAAATATATGGTGACTGTATTAAAATCATAAACATGACATCATTTCGTTTAATATAAAATAAATTCGAAATATATTCTAAACCGTTTGCAATGGGACGTACGTCAATAAAAATTCTTAACCGTTCTTTATTTCTACGGTAACAGGATCAATTAATAATTTTGACAAATTTTATTTAATGTAATGTACTCCATATAACATTAAATTATTTAATTTCTACATCTCTGTGTCTGACAATCATACGATTGTCTAAGAATTATTTACTAAGTCGTTTTTTGTTTTTACCATTTAATTTGGTTTTTATCTATTTTTGGATGGAGACATTCGACATTGGCTGTTATGCTTTCATCTTATGATAAATAGCAAAAATGTGCTATTCTATCGTCCGATTGAGCATTGTAAATTGTTGAATAATTAGTAAGGAGATTATAAAATTATCGATTTCTTGTATGTAACGATAATATAACTATAGTTTTGTTTTAAATGGCATCATTGCAAGTAGTGACGATGCATCTATAATTGTTTTATTTTCATTAGTATATAAGATACTTATATATATTTCTTTACTTCCTCTTGTTAAATTTAGATTTGAAACTATCGAGGCTATGCATAAGAAAATACGAACTTTTTGGAGTGTTTGCCTTATTTAATAGTCCGAGTATCGTTATGCTTTAAATCTGCTGCTAAGTTTCATGATGAGATACCGTTCTGATTATTCGACAATTCACCACTGCTCTTAGAGATATTTTCTACCACGCACGACCACTTTGTCACCAGCGGTGTTTCCACAATGATGCTTGTTTCTGCTTAAAAGTTAACCTGCAAATCCTCCGGTGTTGAGAATGTCGTTACGGGGTCTTATTCTGCATAGTGAATGCGCGTACTTGGTAGAAAAAATTTCCTCCTATCACGACGTAAGCAATTAAAAGTTATAGCAATCACTATACGGAGACTGCCGCTCTCTTCGGTAGAATATTTTAAAGCATAATCGGATGTAAACAAATAACCTAAACGAAACGATTATGGCATTACACGAGAGTGGTTTCCATAATTGAGAGCAACAGCATAAATTTATGTTTCAAATATAAAATTTGTCTTGAATAATCGAATAAATAAAACGAATGGATCGCAATGAAACAGTTAAGAGGTTTGCGCAATAAAACAACGTTTGATTTGTTTGATCCGCGAGATTTCTCGTGTTGCTCGATGAGTTTAAGCTGCGTTTCGACTAAACGGTTTCTCTGCATTGCGGTTTACACATGAAAAACATAAAGAATTCAATCCAAGGTCTTGAGATTTTTCAATAAATAAATTTAATTCTATATTTTATTTTGTGTAACATATATAAGTACTATCAAGATTTTTTAGAATCTTAAAGTTTACCAAAACGCACGAATCGGTACAACACACAACATATTAACAATATAACAAACCATAGCTCGACTGTTCGAGCAACTTCAGTCGACTGGGACGAACAGACTGAATGACCACTGTTAACAAGGACAATATAAATAAATAGATACGGAGTTCCTAAAGGGCCAGTTGTAAAAAGCGCGACACTCCACCTCAATTAAGCCGGCGACGCTGCACCGCCCTTTGATCGGACAAATTTACGTCCGTCTCTTAAGTGCGTTCCGCGCCGACGGAACTACAGCGTGCTACGTAAACATTGGGGTGTCCTCCTTCGTTCTACGCGCCTAATGCATCCGCGCCGGCGACGAAGTGTTTACGATCGCGTTTCGACGCGGGCCGATATCGCGTTTCGCTTGCTCTGCGGCCGCTCTAATGGCGGTGATGCTAAGAGGAAGGGGGTCCCCCGGTTGGAAGAGTTACTTTACTCTGTGTTCGCGGTACTTCCCCGGAACTGCCGGAGCCCGGACGCGCCTCGATATCGCGTTTCGATTGTTCTGCGGTCGATCGGGTGACGATGCTAAGAAGGACGGGCATACCCCGGTCAGAAGACATATTTTACTCTGCGTTTGCGGTACTATGGAAGCGCCGTGGCTCGGACCCACCTCGATATCGAGTTTCGATTGTTCTGCGGTCGCCCTGGTGACGATTCTAAGAAGGAGCGGCATACCCCGGTCAGGAGACATACTTTACTTTGCCGTCGCGGTACTTCCCCGAAAAATCGCTGCAGCTTACATCAAGGGACTGGCCCTTGGTGTAAACTGCAGCGATTCCACCCAGCAGATAGGAGGCAATTAGTGCAAGTGACATGCAATGCACATTTGCGCATTCAGCTAATACAAACTCAAATATATTTATTCAATATTGTAGCATTACACTTATTGATTTTCACTGTGATACATAAATTAATTATGACAATTTGCTTTCGAATAAGTCAGTATTGTTAGCCATGGTTGTTGCAAAATGTTCGAAACGATTTTTAAATTGTTTAATTAAGTATTAATTTGGTATTCTCTTCTAATTTGTCGTAGTTCTATACTGAAGACAGTTTACTCAATTATAATGGCATTATATATTCTTTAGATATTAAAATATTGATGATCTCTAACCAGTTCAGAGTGGTGAATTAATTGAAACCATCCTGTAGGCGTCGCACGCGGAAGCGGACTAAAAGCTGTCGGAACCTAATGTGCCCCTGACACACTCTAATGTATCTATTTGCGTATCCCCATTAATAATACAGGGTTCGGGATGGGTTCAGAAATACGGTTCGGATCTGACTAGATGAATGTATTCATAAGAACAGTTAGGCCATGATGATAAGTGATTACCGAGCCGAAGATGCGTTTCCAGCATGCTTTTTATGTAATCTAGCAGAAATCCAGGCAAGCGAGCTGGGGATTCACAACTCCCGTCGGGTTGCAGATGAGTTGTCACTTTAAAATAAAGAAGGCCCAAGTCACCTCACTTACCTGTTGAAATGTAGGAGTGTAACACATCCACATTCATGCTAGTCTTCTGCGATGCGAATTGCTGCGTGGCCTAAACACGTATTAAGCGCTATACACTAAAGCTACATCATACCTGTGAAACGTAGACTATACTTAAATGATAATAAGTGTTGGGTTAAAAACCTTTTTCAGCTATTTTCACAATGTCGATTTTTTTAGTTTTTCATAATTGACTTGTTTTCATTATATCATTAGTAATATTGTCAGTACTTACAGATGGGCAGTACTTACGGAACAAGAATACAAATTGTAAGCGATTAACCCATAGACAATCCAAACACTAGAATCGTTGCAGGTTGCTAACCAATTAATAAGCCAAGACACGGTCTTTGGAGGGTTGTTCCGGTCTACTCCACCAATTCGTGAGACGGTGGATTACAATAGCTAAATTTTCTAGATGTGCTGTTGTCGTCCTTGATTAGTTGTTTAAATAATGCATTCAGATGGCGCCATAAGCAAACATCCTGGCAATGTAAATTTATGAATTAACTAGCCCGCGACTACGTTTGCGTCGAATAGGCTAAAGGCGTAAAATTCAAACAGAAAGACAGATATACATCAAATCTGTATATAAATTAAAGCCTATGTCTTATTCTGATGTACAAGCTATATTATTGTAAAGTTTCATTAAAATCCATTCAGTAGTATTTGCGTGAAAGAGTAACAAACATCCCTCCATGCATACAAACTTTCGCCTTTATAATATTAAAGTAAGCATATATATTAGTATATCTACGGAAGGTATTAAGAAGTGATAGCGCTTTAATTCTTCTTAATCGACAATCTGAGTACAAATCCCGTAATGCATACCCGCAGTGCAATTGTTATTAAGATGACGGAAAACATATTCTGCATATTTTCGAAATAATAATTTAAAAAGAAATTATAGGTCCGCAGTTGAGTCGCGTGGTGAACTATGCCATAATAAGCTCGGTACAGAGGAGGCCTCTGCTCAGCAGTCGTACATATATCTGCCATTACCTTACTGCTCTTACTAAGGCGATAGTTTATGCGTTAGCAAGTGAACGCGTATGGACGTTGTCTTTATAGCTTGTTTTGTCTACATCTACATTCTACATGAAGGAAGGTGTCAATTGTTGTTAACGATATTTCCGCACCGCTACGATGATCCGTAATCTTCAAGAAGAGATACTATTTCCACCTAAAAGGCTGGCAAATCATTTCGATTCCGGTGTTTCTAGTAATAATAATAATAAATAATAAAATATCTTTATTCACATAGACGCTTGCGCGTTCTTATGAAACGTCAAAATTTTACAAAGAAATTACCACGTTCGTAAGTTACCACCGGTTCGGAAAGCAGTTTCTGTGGCCATAGGCGTCCATTAAGTTCACAAGATCAGTCACCATTAAGTGTATTGCTGGTTTCTTCCATAAAAAGAACTTGGTGCGGTCGTCGAACGGAGATTTTCGAATGGAATTTCAGTCAAATTAACCTATTTCAAATTCGTTTTCCTCGGACGCCCCCTGTCGGGGCGACGGAAACGATTTTCCATCCCGACGCGCGTTGTCGGTTGCTTTTGAATGCGAAGTCATCGCTCGTTGACGTTTAATGATGTATACGTAATCCTCTAACGACCAGCGGAGAGGATTTTTCTTATCTTTAATATCTTCGGAAATATTTCGCTACGGTTGTAGCTATGCAAGATTATAGGAAAAAGTCGTTGATAAGTGGTTTACCCCTCTGTTGTTTAGATAAAACATGAATAAAATGAGGTCATGACAGTCATTAAAGTAAAGTAAGTAAAGTATCAGCCTATACATGTCCCACTGCTGGGCAAAGGCCTCCTCTGTACAGAGGGTATCAAGGCACAGTCCATCTCGCGGCCCCACTGCGGATTGGCGGACTTCACATATCTTCGAATTATTTTATATATCATGTTTGAATTGAGTAAATTACTCTGAAAGCACAAATTGCTAACAGAATATGAACGCGGTGACGCAGCTTCTGAGATTACTTTCGGTGCCTTGGATCGTGGGTCCACACATGGTACAAGTCGACGACCCGAATGGCGTAGTGGGTAGTGTACCTGCCTCCTGCGCCAGAGGCTGTGGGTTCGATCCCCACTACTAGAAAAATATTGTGTGATGAACATGGTGTTTTTCAGTGTCTGGGTGTTTGTATATTTATAATATGTATTCATTTACAAAAGAAAAGTATGTTTAAGTATGTTTATCAGTTTTCTAGAACCCATAGTACAAGCTGTGCTTAGTTTGCGACTGGAAAATGTGTAAAAATGTATCCTAAAAATATTTATTTATATTTATATTTATTTAAGTGTTTGTGTTAATTAGTAATTGTTAATACACAGATAATTGTTTCTTCCCAAGGAAGTTTGACGTCAGGCAGGCCGGTCTTGAAAATCCTAGTCAAACCACTAACATCATGTTGTGCCGACCACCTAGGAGGGAGGAAATGTAATATTTGCTAACTCCTAAAGTAATATTTGCATTAACAGCGAGTCATCCGCGAAAGATTGACATGTGGTATTGCATGGTCCTACCACAACTATGATAGGACTATACAACAGTGTTCACTGTTGCACGACTGGGCAGGTCCGTCCGGGTAAGTACCACGACCGCACAGAAGACCGGCGTAAAGTCGATGTGTTACACTTCTGCGTTTCGTCTGGGGAGTGAGGTAGCCGCGGCCGGCTTTGTTTAAAGGTGGCGACGCGTCTGCAACTACGGGTGTTGCACATTTCAATAGGCGGCGGTTATTATTTAAAATCAGGTGAACGGCCAGCTCGTTTGCCACTTTCTCACATAAAAAAACGTTTTGATTTGATTCATGTGTTAACGCTTAGTGCCTTAGCACTTGAAATAAATAAATTTATAAACACTTAACTTAGGTAAGTGTTTATATGTTTTTACCGTTTCGTCTGCGAATTGTGGTTGCTGGAAGTCCATCCAGTTTTTGGTACACTTTGGATTCAAACTCCTTTCTGCTTTACCCTTTGATACAAAAAACAAACGCGTCGTTTGAGGCACTGGCGCTTGTACGATCAGATATGTTGACACCCTACGTGGACATCTGTGACCTCAGCCACATGAGAGTTGGGCTTTCGTGTTTGCGCGCGATGCCCGATGATGCACGCGCGCCTTACGCCGATAGCACGGTAAACGAATCTAAAACAACACACGGCACGGCTAATGGAGAACAGCAACGGGGTGGAGTGGTCGTCGTTCTAAAAGTTATTTTTTTTTTATTTATTATCTTTTTATGTAAGAACGCTTTCTTATATAAAAAGATAATAAATAAAATTAAAAGCTTGCGGTTTACCTGATGTTGAGTGATAAACGCCGCCCATGGACATTTGCAACATCCGTAACGCCTCAAATTAATCACGCTTTATCCGTGAGGCCGTGGTACTTCCCCGGATGGAGCTGCCCATTCGTGGAACTGACAAAGATGTTGCGGAGTTTCACCTTACTAGCTTCACCTTGTTAAATTTTCTATTTTCCTTTTATGCACATCGCACAAGTTGGTTTTCTTACAAACCGGTTGTTAATAAAACATTTCATTACACCATTCATTTTATTTTTCAGGTATAGTCTCCGTACTCGGCTGCTTAGAATCAAAAGCTCAGTGCTTAGAACGTCCGAATACCTGGACGATGTATGTTGCAATCCCGTAAATTTTTCCAACACATTTACACTTTACTCCATCCCATTTCATAAGATTATCGTATAGTTTAGTTTGCGTTTCACAAATAGTACGTGAAGGAACTTGCAGATTGGTAATGAATATGACATGTGGTGCTGAAATAAAGCCGAGGACCTGAGCAAGAGGAAATAAAAATTTGTTCATTATAACAGCATCATAGTTTCTTGAAACTGAAAATTTTTATTTATGTCGAAGACTCTAAAGTTTTTTCCGGTTGTATTCTGGACAGGAGTGATGGGTGACCTTGTGCTATATGATGGCTGAATGCAATATAGAACTAAGCAAAGTTATTATAGCTCGTTGCGTTAAGCCAACTGTATTGAATCCATTTCGCGTAATGGACTAGTTATTACTATTATTTACAATAGACGTGTAATGGTCAAGCCAATGAAACTCGCAAATTACCCTTGGTAAAGAACAGAATTATTATGTTATTATGTATTAGTAATTTAGCAGTAATTCACCATTTGTATAACAGAGTTGTTATGGGAGGCCTATTTTCAGCAGTGGACTCAAACACGCTGAAATGATGATGATGATGAAAGAACAGAGTATGTCAGTAGAGACATATTCTTAAGCTTTTTGCTGGGTTACTATGTATAGGCCTGACCAATCAGTATTAGTTTTTTTTTAAATTTATGTATTACCGTATTATTCATTTTGTTAAATGTACCACCGTACTAGCCATGATAGCTTAGTGTCCGGGCGCTCGCCTTTAATATACTCGAGCAACCTGAGTTCGATCCCCGGTGCCAGCACCAATGAAATTGTCAATATTAAGTGCTGAATTATCACGGAGAAGGGAAACATCGTGAAGAAACCTGCATATTTTCGAAATAATAATAAAAAAATATTTCGAAGATATGTGAAGTCCGCCAATCCGCAGTGGGGCCGCGTGATGGACTATGCCCCAATACCGTCCGTACAGAGGATGCCTTTGCCCAGCAGTGGGACATGTATAGGCTGATACTTTACTTTCTACCACCGTTTCGTCACGAGGTTCGTCAAATGGCGAAGAGACAGGCGGAGGAAACTCCGTAAGTATCCCCTTTTTTGAATCTTATGAAAATTATCTAATTTTGAAAGCGCTGCGCACGTTTTGCATATCGGCGTCCATCTTAAAAGCTTCTGCGTGCGCGTGATCCTTTTATCGTCTCGCTTTGCTTTATTTCTGCTGCGGCGGCGCCACGAACCGCCACGAACCGCCACGCACGTGACTCGATAGTAATTCCTGTCAAATTAAACCTTCTCGGATCCCACTTTTTCATCTTTATATACATAATTCTACTGTACGTGAGTATGTCACTGAACTGCTCCTAAACGGCTGGGATGATTTTATTTTATTTTTTTGTGTCTTTAAGTCGATTCTAGAATGGTTTAGATTCACAATTTTTTAAGCTATAGGATTTATGTCGTGTGTACAGGAAAACGTTTGCCCGGGCCGCTTGTATATTATATAGTATTTTATTATATAGTTTTCAGTCTACAAGCTGTATCTATCTATACAGACCAATTGGAGTTTCTGTTTGTAATATTAAAATAACCGCTCTTTACTAAATGGACACGGTACATATAGCAAAATAAAATTTTTCACAATGTTTGTCTGTCTGTTTGTTCCGGCTAATCTCTGAAACGGCTGGACCGATTTTGATGGGACTTCCACTGGCGGTTAGCTGATGTGATGAGGATTACTCCTTAAGCCTAAGTTACCTTAGCCTACTTTTATTTTAGAAACTTTATTTATTTTAAATTCCACGCGGACGAATGTTTGTATGTTTGTTCGTTTCAGATAATTTCGCGCGGGTTTGCGAACACCATATTTGTATGCTGGAAAGGATATAACAATAGATGGCGCCAAGCATTGCTTCAAATGCTAAGAAAACAATGTGGAAGAATGCGTTAAGATTTTCGTCGGTGTGGTAATCAGCCGTTTAGCTCAGTGGCTAGAGCGTCAGGCCGCGAATGCCGAAGACGTGGGTTCGATTCCCAGAGCGGCGACAATCTTTTCGCACTTTTTCTACATATTTTAACACCATACATTTTCAATGTGACTATTTCGTTTTAAATTCCCATCCATTCTGCTAAATTCTGTAAAGTATTTGAAACGTCGCGTCGGGGTAGTTTTCACTTATTTATTAATTAAATGTAATTTCAATTTAAGAGTAAATGTTAGTTTACCCTGAAAATTGAAATTACAAAGAACAGGGTGACGGTACTAATATCAGGGTAATATCTACTGCAAATAAAATCCCAATACTCAGCAGTAGACCTTTTAATTTTGTAGGCGGAAGCTGTTAGTTTAGGATCTAACGCTGCGTTGAAGGGGTAGAACATTCTGGTTAGGGGGACTTTAAAAAAAATAATTTTATTAAATATTCATAAAATTATGGCAATCCGCTGCATCAATGCATCAAACTATTGCATTATTGAAACTTATACTTCTTTTCACGCGTTTGGAAAAAGAATGAGACTAAATTTTTACTTTGCGGTCTAAGGTTCTAAGCGGAAGGGAGAGGTATGTTCAACAGTAGACATCTTGGGGCTGATGATGATGATGATAGATTAACTTTTCCGCTATCTATTCCCGTATAAACTCAAGTTCGTGGTTGACGTTATAACTGCCGAAGCTGGGTTCGTAGTTGGGCGTTCTCGTCGCTGCAGTAGTTTCCAGAGTTAAGGCCATCGACGCTGACGTCCAGAATGATTGAACCTGGCTCCAGCGGAAATCGCACGGCATTACAGTCCAAGTCGCCGGTCGGTCGACCAGCGTAACCTGGCCCCGGTGGGTGCGGCGGTGGCTAAGCGAGCGGGGCTCCATTATCTGCCCCCATCGGGACATATGCGCGCCCGATACGAATCTCCGTTCCACTGTAATTAGATGATACAGTAATAAAATCATTGCCGCGTCATTGTGGGGCGCTCTATCTCCAATCCATCGAATGTAAGCCCAATTATTTCGTGTAACAAAGAGCGGGGAGGGTTCGACTTTGTACATTTTGTTGTCGGTAGTTTTGTTGGAATCAGTTGCGCGCGCATTTAAGGCTTGTTGCGTTTTCGAACGTGAGGCAGCTATTTGAATTGATGCATCCTTAGGCGCGTAACGAAACGGAAAAAATTAATATACCGTCATTAGAGGTTACTTTGGCGAATGTTCAGCAAATTGGCGAGCGCATATTGCAATTAAAAAAAAATTAAACGGTAGAGTAAAATCACTAATGAATTAATCTACAAGCAGAATTCTCCGGTCGCTTAGTTTTCGAGAAAAAAGAATATTATTAAACAGGTTATTTTCACTAGGAAAGTCCGCCATTTTCTTAATTTGACAAACTGAATACACAGTACTGCCAACATGATAAATATAGAAAGCGGGGGATGTCATACTCGTATCGATTGTTCGATTATTTTTTTTTTATTTATTGAGACAGATCCGACATAGAGCATTCCGACTTATACTTCTTAGTGTTTTTTTATAACCACCAAGAAATACCCAGTCTTTAACAATTAATACACAAGAATTAACAACAACAAAATGGCGGATAGATATCTTTTGTGAAAATTACAATATTTCATTAGTTTTTTTGCGAAAACTATAAGTGACCCAAGAATTCTTCTTGTTGATGATTAATACTAGTGTATTCTTTCCTTATTTTTTTAATTGCAATATCAACTCTGATATTTACCCATACTTTTTTAAATTTCAAATAAAATAAAAATAATATAAAATCATAATTGTTTTATTAGTTTTACATTAAAGATTAAAGTTGTTTCAATGATATATTGATAAGTATGTGATATGTAAATTTTTCAGTTAATAGTTATGAATATTTCATAGAATGAACTGATGAAAATAGATATTTTCGTTTTATAACTTGTTTTATTTATTTTTATCGTTTGCACGATGTTTGCTCGATTCATATCAAATGAATATAGTTAAAAAGTTATTTACTTGAAATATTTTTTATACATTACAAAAAGTTTGTTTTTCACAAAAAATTGCATACCTATTGTATTATTTATTTTGGCGTGAATAATTAAATTCTAAATTGAATTTCATAAATAGTACGGAGTATTTTAACGATACCCTTAACGTACCGAAGTGTATGCTCTTTCTTCTTCTCATTCTCTCTTCGAATGAGCTACGGAAAGAGTATGTGGTTATCAGCGTATGTATTTCTAAATTATGTATTCAGTCTTTTATAGCGCTATTCTCCGCTTTTAAGATGAATCATTAAAGTTTTGTAGCATAATAGAAGAAGAGTTCACTTCTTTTGTAAATAAATGCACATCATAACTGTATAAACACCCAGAGATCGGAAAGACACGATGTTCATCGCACAAAATTTTTCGAGTAATCGGGATCCAATCCACACTCTTTGGCGCAACAGGCAGGTGCGCTATCCACTACGCCAATCGGGTGTCTCCTATTTTAGCTATTACGAAGCATGAGATTTATTTAAAGTTATTTCGAACAAACACAATAGTTCTATTTTTGGAACATACACAAGCTTGTAACGCCAGTTACTAGACTCCATAGCGTCAGTAACTCGTTCATGGGATGTATACGCTTCTACAACAAAATCCCAGTTAATGTGCAAAGGCTATCTATTAACAGGTTTAAGAAATTTATTAAAGAAAAACTTTTTAAAAAGGGTTATTATAATATAAATGAATACATTACCGATAATAACCCCTGGGAATGAGATGATCGCTCCTAAGCTCTATCTAAAAAAAATATGTATGTATAACAATGTATGTGTTCGAGAAAAAAAAATTGACAAAAAAGGGGATACCTACGGAGTTTCTTTCGCCTGTGTCTTCTCCATTAGAGGAACCTGATTACGAAACGGTGGTAGATTTAAAAAATGACTCAATGTATATTTCTTATTTCGATGAATAAATGATTTTGATTTTTGATTTCTTAACGTGGGAAAAATCTCTTCTGAATCCCGTTCCACCAATCCGGTTGAGCGCAAGGTGTGTTGGAGTCCAGGTCAGAACTGGAAGAGTACCCACTAAAACCTACGTCGCACCCTTCTATGACCTTGACCACCGCTCCCACCACAAAACGAGGATTGGCAGAAGCATCGCTATCCTATAAGAGAGTGAACTCTTACCTTACTTACCAAACGAAAAGCGTAAGTATAAATACTTCATTTTGTATCAGAAGGTGAAGCGGTGAAGTTGAAGGTGATGAGGCTACGGCGTCGGGGTTCGTGGTTTCGATTCCCACACGGGGCAACTATTTGTGCGACCCACAGATAGTTGTTTCGCATCTGGGTGTTTGTCTTCGTGCAATTTATGTTTGTAAAACGTCCTTACAACACAGGATAATGTTATCGTACAAAGAATAAATAATGTGGCAAGACGTAAAGCATCACTGCATCGTATAAAACAAAGTCGTCCCGCTGTCTGCCTGTCCCTATGTATGCTTAGATCTTTAAAAGTACGCAACGGATCTTGATGCGGTTTTTGTACTAGATAAAGTGATTCAAAAGGAAGGTTTTTAGTAGGTACTCTTACAGTGTGACTTGTATAATACATTACACCCGTCGTCCTGCTACTTCGAACCTACCAAGTCCTACAACAGCGGATGTTGGTTCGTGGCCCTATCACAATAAAAACTACTAACACCAATTTCAATTTCCGGATAGGTGTAAAATATTATTGAAGAAGAGATTCTCCTTCTTTATTACATTCAACTTGTTTAAATTTATAGTTTCGCCTGTTCAGTAAATCCATGCCCACCTTACTACCCATTTGTGGTGCAATACAATCGGCAATTACTTAGTTCAATTATTGTACACTATTTCCTTTTAGTAGAAGTGACTTAGCTAAAGTTAGCACATTTTACAAGTTGCCGGAGTTAATAGTGACGCTTCCAAGCGAGGGGCTTAATCACAAAAACATTAGGGATCCATAATTTTATCGGAGTCAACAGCGAGCATTGCGTGCGTTGCTTGCTGACCGTCCCCCGTGCAATTAACCAGATGGACGTCGCCCGTCAAGTACAGGGTGTTCCGAAATACATTCCTTTTGGACGCTTTTCATTAGCAAACGTAACAATTGGCTAAAGAGTCTAGTTAATTGTGGTATGACCAATGTGGTCTCTGTCTGAGGACATCACAAGACAGGCGAGAAGTGGAATTGTTCTGCGTTTCTTCCGGTGAGTGAGGTATGACTGGCCCACTTAATTGAAAGGTGTCGACGCATATGTGACCCTACATACATTGGGTGTTGCAAACGCCCATGGGCGGTGGTTGTCACTTACACTACGTGAACCACCAGCTCACTCGAACTATTCTTACACAAAAAAAGGCCTACAACTTTTTTATGGAAAGAGGGAGGGCACCACAGGATTAGGCTCACCTGATGCGTTGCCGGCCCTTGAGGAAATGATACGCTCTCTTCTTGAAGGTCCCCAGGTGGAAACGGTTCGGAAAGACCGCCGGCGGCAGCTGGTACCGCGGAGTGGTCGTGCTAGGCAGTAACTGCTCATGAGTAGGTTTAAAAAGCCAACCGCCACATTAAAGCCGGATCTCGCCTGCGTTTGGCATTCACAAAGAGCTCGGCATCCGCGGCGTATCCTGCAGCAGAATGAGTAAATACACTCAGTGCCCTCGCCTACGACGCGCAGAGCAAACACCGGCCCGTAACGAGGTATTTGCGGCCGTGTATCGCGTGTCACTACCAGCTCCGTCAACAAACGGGGCGCCCTGTAGCTGTGCGCGATGGACGGCCGCTCGTGACACACGGTTAGCCGGGATGGGCCGCCGAAAGTCTATTCGAAATGAGCTACGACCACAATTGTTATGGAGGACATGCAAGTTGATGAGGATCTCTAGAACTAGATTTGTTTAGTAAACTATTTGAGAACTTGAACGTTTGCAAGCTTTGTTACAGTACGCTCATTCAATCGCGTAAAAAGACAGAATATGTAAATGACTATAAACCTAATCTGTTTTGGAAATAATTCTATGAATGAATGATTATATCAGCTACTATCTAATTGGTTAAATCCTTAACTGTTTAATTAACTTACTTCTAACCAATCTCACTGTATTAGTACTGTATTCAATTCTCGTGTCGAATAATATTATGAATGTCCGTTTCTATTCCATCGTGGAGTGACACAGAAACTCACTTCTCGTGACGCTGCCAACATATATGCACATTATCTTGCACGCCACTCGCGACGGCCGTGTGTCACGGAGTATTTAGCAGAGGAAGACACCTGGCGTCGCTCGACCCCCGCCCGTTCACAATTACATTCAGATTAACTTTTGTACGCGTGACTCTTGCTGGGTGCGGCGTTCGACGGGTTCGCTTTCCATCCTGTGTGACTAATCACTGGATACTTGCGTACGTATCGACTGTGTCGCCTTAAACATACAACGAAAGCCTTCACGGCACTGTTTTTCAGCGAGTTAACTTTTGTAATTGACTCGTCGTGAGGCCGTTGTCGTATAATAACTAGTCGCCTAGTGGTCGAAATTCGATCATAATTAATCAAAATTCTAAGTTTGAATAATATTAATCTATTCTCAAATACAATAAACATTAAACAAATGAGTGTGTACTTTGTTAATAAATAAATAAATAAATTTAATAAAATATACATTACTTACAATCACACGCAATTATACACGAAATCGCTGGTATCAGGTAGCATTATTCTTTTTAGAATCTGCATCCCGCCAGTTATAATAAAAGATCGGGTATGGACAGTCTCTAATACTATCGCATTTTTTTATAAAATCAAAAAATCTAAGGTTTCTTTAGTTTGGAATGCAAATATACAAACTATTTTTCTTTTTTCACAGCGTGTCAATTTACTATCTAATAAGCAAGATATTGAAACATCACTGAGCACGTAGAGCTTAAAAAATCGTCGAATTTTAGTAGCTTAACGTCAAATGAATCACACTACTTATTTTAGACCTAGGCCAAGTTTCAAAGATGTAAAACTTGAAAGAATTAAGGTAAAATCTATAAAGCAGTTACTCTTTAGTACGGCAAAACTCCATTATTTTATTTATATTTTCTTTTTTTTAAAAAACATTGCCCTCACTTTAGGATAACATTATCCTGTGTTGTAAGGACGTTTTACAAACATAAATAGCACGAGGACAAACACCCGGATGCGAAACAACTATCTGTGGGTCGCACAAATAGTTGTCCCGTGTGGGAATCGAACCCACGACCCCCGACGCCGAAGCCAATACCTTGGCAACTGGGCCACGTAGTCATCATTTATATAGATTCCATTCTAATATTTCTTCTAAGTGACTAGCTGTAAAAGTAAAAATTAATCCTAAAACAACAGATTCCATTATTAGTGTTTATCCCTGGACTTAATTAAACTTACACTGCCTGTATTCGACTCTCTGGGTGCGTCGCCGTGAAATTGCAGGTTCGATCCTGGCTAATATTAAAAATAAAAACATTTATATACACATTTTAAATTCTCTTTGTTGTATTTTTTTACTACATTATTTTATACTAGTTGTCTCATTCGGAATCGAATATTACAGATATTTTTATTTTTTAGGGCTCCGTACCCTAAGAGTGAAACGGGACTCTATTCTTAAGACTCCGCTGTCTGTCTGTCCGTCTGTCAGCAGGCTGTATCTCATGTACCGTGATAGTTAGACAGTTGAAATTTTCACATATAATGTATTTTTGTTGCCGCTATAACAACAAATACTAAAAAACGAAATAAAAAATATATAATAAAAATAAGTGGACGCTCTCGTACAACAGACATGATTTTCTTTCCGTTTTTATAGACAACTAGCCATCCGCCTCGGCTTCGCACCGGTGCAATGTATTATACATATAAAGATAAACCTTCCTCTTGAATCACTCTACTTAGAAAAAAAATCACATCAAGATCCGTTGCGTAGTTTTAAAGATCTAAGCATACATAGCTCGTGTTACTAACTTATCCTCCTCATGTATAGATAATGTATTCTGTCACAGTGATGTATATGATAAATATGTTATAAATCATCTGAGCTCGGATCACTTTGGGCTAAAATTTTCAATAAATGAAAAAGCTAATACAAGCAAACTTAAGATCAAGTGTAGACCAGTCACTACTAATTGAATAAATGCTTTTAGAGATAAAGTGGCACATCATATTTAAATAAAGATATAGGAGTCAATAACCCTAATGACTCTTATAGATCAATGGTTGACTTCCTCATATCTTCTTATAATGATACTTTTAAATCGCGCACAATTGTTAAGAATTCAAAATTAAAATTTAGTGACTGGGCAACAGTGGGTATATACAAAAGTAGGGATTCATTGTATGAATTATATAGTATGAGGCAGTGGAATCACGATCCTAACTTCCTTAAACGGGTACAAACATTTTCAAAAATATTTAAAAAAGTCTGTATTCAGGCAAAATCTATTTATATAAGAAATAGCATAATAAATTCAAACAATAGAACTTAAGCCACATGGGACATCATTACCCGTATATCTGGAAGAACCAAGATATTCAGGGAACCTATAAAACTAGTTATAGGTAATACTCCCATAATATCAGATAACGAAATTGCGAGTAGTTTCGAAAGCTATTTTTCAGACATTGCGGTTAATGTCACACGTACATTAAAATCATCTCCCGCAGACGCAATTAATGTTTTAAGAAATAATGTTACCCCTTGCCTACACACATTTAAATTTAATCACGTAGATACTTATGATATTATAAAAGTTTTGAATTCTATTAATCTTAAAAATACAGAGGATTTATGGGGTATGTCCATAAAATTAATGAGCACAATAATGCCATATATTGCACCACATTTGGCTTCTATTTTTAACAACTGCATAGATTCTGGAATATTTCCAGATCTTATGAAATTTAGTAAGGTAATACCTGTCTACAAAAGTGGTGATAAAAATGATCCAGGCAACTATAGGCCTATTTCCATATTGCCATCTCTTAGTAAAGTTTTTGAAAAGCTAATATTAAATCAACTTTTAGTTCATTTTAATGTGAACAAAATCTTTCACGATGAGCAATATGGATTCACTAAAGGCAGATCGACAACAGATGCGGGCGTCGCACTTGTCAAACATATTTATAACGCCTGGGAAAGGTCACAAGATGCAATAGGTGTCTTTTGTGACCTTTCAAAAGCCTTCGACTGCGTAGACCATAAAACTCTCCTTCAAAAGCTAGAATATTATGGCATTCGTGGCATCGCCCTCAATCTCATTACCTCTTACCTTAGTAATAGAATTCAAAAAGTATATATAAATGTTGATGTTAATTCCGCTGGGTCCCAGATGAAAATGGGAGTCCCACAAGGATCAATCTTGGGCTTATTATTATTTTTAGTATATATTAATGATCTCCCCTTTTATGCCAGTGGGTTGTGTGATGTTGTACTGTTTGCTGACGATACATCGCTTATTTTTAAAGTTGACCGAAACGTATTAAATTATGACGACGTGAATAGTGCACTTTCACGTATCTTCCACTGGTTTACTATTAATAATATGGTATTAAATGCCAAAAAAACCAGATGTATTCTTTTTACCCTTCCCAGTATAAGAAGGAAAAGTTTTAGTTTAATATTAAATAACGTACCCATTAATCCAGTTGAGTCTGCTATATTTCTGGGAATTACAGTAGATTCAAAGCTCCAGTGGAGTCCCCATATATCATCTCTTGCGAATAGGCTGAGCTCCGCGGTTTTTGCGATTAGAAGGGTTAGGCAGCTAACAGACATCGACACTGCCAGACTTGTTTACTTTAGTTATTTTCACAGCATCATGTCTTACGGCATTTTGTTGTGGGGTAGTGCATCAGATATAAATTCTATATTTATTCTTCAAAAAAGAGCTGTTCGAGCAATCTACAATATCGGAGCCCAGAATTCACTCAGAGATCTTTTCAAAGAGGTTAATATACTCACTGTTGCTTGTCAATACATTTATTGTAATGTTTTGTATATACGTCATAACCTTAATTATTACCTAAAGAATAGTGACAGACATAAAATAAACACTAGAAATAAGGACAAACTTACTACGCCATTGTTTCGTCTACAAAAAGTAAATAAGTCGTTCATGGGGCAAAGTGTGCGCATGTATAATAAAATCCCACAGTCGATATTAAGTCTGCCGCTTGACCAATTTAAATGTAAAATTAAAAATCAACTGATGATTAAAGCATATTATACCATTTCGGAATATCTCGACGACGCCAATGTGTGGAGTTAATACTGTTGATACTCACGTAGGCTAGAATAAGACTATTATACCTGTATATTATATTGTACCCTGATATTTTTGAAAACGAGCAACTGTTGAGTTTCTTGCCGGTCTCTTCTCAACAGAAACCGCTTTCCGAACCGGTGGTACCTTACGAACCTATACACATAATCTTTGATGTAAAATTTGACGATTCATAAGAGCGCGCAAGCGTCTATTTGAATAAATATATTTTTGATTTTGATTTTGATAGGGACCGACAGACAGCGGGGCGACTTTGTTTTATACTACGTAGTGACCGTACGGTACCCTTCGTGGGCGAGTTCGACCCGCACTTGGCCGGTTTTCCGTAACACTGAAACAACAAAATCTCTGCAGTACTCGTGAGCAGTGAGCCATCGACTTGCGCGGCCCTCTGCGAAATTCACATAGGACGGTTTAATTATTAAAGCGCTAAGCACCCGGTCTCCAGGGCCTCCATAATCCCGTGGACATTACTTAAGTCCGCGGAGTCTAAAAATTTTATGCGGCCACATGTCCCGCCGCCCCAGAGTTGTCGTACAATTTTAGGTACATCGCGCCCCCTCCCTAGGGTGGCGGGGGATGGGGGGATGGTAAAAGCATATTTATGTTAGTTTCTGATTGACGATGATGGCTTCCCCTTGGTTTGAGACGGTGCCGGCTTGCTGCGTCGTAATTCAGCTTTGAGCCATGTTGATTTAAGCGTGATTAATTCTAATCTTGACTGCAAACCCACTAATTGACACAAACAAACCGGTGACATCAATATTCAGCTTATTAAAGTTTGATTTGAATATATTTTATTCTTATATTTAGGTGTCTTATCCAGTGTGAAGTGGAAGTGATACATTTTATTATTTTTTATGTGAAAAGTTGCCAAGCGAGCAGGCGGTTCACCTGATGTTA